TTTTCATAAGGCTATCTGTTTTCAAATATCATGTCAATTAACTATTAGGATTCCAGTATATAGTCAAGAATAATTACATAATATTCCTAAGCATTTTCCCTTCACATGCTGAGTTATGCTTCTAATATGTTCTGAACCTTGTAAAAAGAAAACCATATGGATATTATAACAAGTATTTTTCATTATTTAGAAATGTTAGAAATATTATCCAATATATACCACCTTCAAAAAAAACAACCAGGGAAACGTTGAAAACAGAGCAGAAGATTAATTGGCTATATACAGTAATTAAGGACATTCTTATTAGCAATTTCAGAAATATCAGAAATAATAACACTAGCTTGTTTATTAGAACAAGCAATAGCATAAATCAAGAGTTAATTTTTTTAATGTTTTTGGGGCTTGTCAGTTTGCAAACAATGAATGATTGTGTACATGTGAAAGTATGGTAGGCAGACAAAGATGGGGTAAGAAATCAGAGAATTAAGGGCTAAATTCTAGGAAATTAAATTGGTATCTAAATTGGAAACACTCATTACTTGTTCTTGACTCTTTTTTTTAATTCAAAAAGTAGCTTTTTCACCACAGTTATGAAATTAATAAAATAAAATGTATTTATTAAATTCAAAAATGCCAATTGTCTGCATATTTGCTTATAATGTCTTTCTTTTCACAATTCCAAAGTATGGTGTCAGAAAAGAACAAGCGTTAAAATAGAGCCAGTTATTTCACATAAAATGTAAGGTGATATTTCTCTTTTAACAACCTATAGAATTTACATTTGCAAGAAAAGCTTATATGACTTGTTTGACAGCATGTTAAATATGATATACACAATGCTAAGAACTAGTTTTTCAGACATTCAATAATAAAATAATTTCCAATAAATTTTGACTTCATAAAGACCAAACAAATGGTTAGTTGATTGAAGTTTTTATTTTAAACCAGTGATTGTCTTGATATACAGCAGCCTTAGCAAACTTTTTTCTGTACAGAGTGACATTGTAAATATTTGGGAGTTTGCAGGCTGTGCAAAAACCAAGCATGAAAGCAACCACAACCATTACAGAAACAAAAGACCTGGCTGGGCTCCAATATCTTTATTTACAAAAACAGGCAGAGACAAATCTTGACCTAATATCATTCTCCAATAAAAGGAGTGGAAGGTTTTCAGAGAAATGACTGATCTTAAGACCAGGTAGAAAATCTATAAAAGGAGCCTAGCCCATTATTCTATACCTGAAACTAAAGAACTGGTAAACACACACACAAACACACACACAAATGGGAATATGTCAAAGAAACTAAGAAGCCAACTAAAGAGCACCTCATAGGCAAAGCTGATAAAATTTGAGCAACAAAATAAAGTGGCATTAGATGATACCTCATAATATAAAATAAATATTCATAAGCTTATATGTTTTTAAAGATTTTATTTATTTATTCATGAGATACAGAGAGAGAGAGAGAGAGGCAGAGTGAGAAGCAGGCTCCCAAGGAGCAGGGAGCCCAAAGCGGGACTCAATCCCAGGACCCTGGGATCACGACCCGAGCTGAAGGCAGATGCCCAACCATCTGAGCCACCGAGGTGCCCTCATAAGCTTATATTACTATAAAAATTGTTGATTCAGTAAATAAATGATGGAGAAAAACAAATGCCCCATAAAGAATCCTAAAAATTTATATAGATACTGTAACCTTGAGGAGGCAGAGATTTTAACTCCCTAACACTTAGTATGGACTGCAAATAGTGACCTTGTTCCATTCCTTCTTGTCTTTCTTGAGTAGGAGCTAAGATACAGTGCGTATCTAAAGAAAATTATCAGTCATTTATATATTCAAATGCCCCATTTTATTTTTTAGAATATATGTATTGATTTTTTTACACCCTTCTTAAAAAATAAAACCATTGTAATATAATTAATGGACTGTGAATATTATGGTATTTTTATTTCTCTCAAATCAAAGTCAATTGCTACTATTACTAAATCTACATATATTCCTTAATGTTGGTTTTTAAATGTACATATTTATTTTTGGTGCCAGTCAGAGGTTTTGGTTTAAAAAAATGATAAAATCACACTAAATAATGACCGGCCATTTCCTTATATCATCTTACTTTCCATGTTGATTTATGAATGGGATCATAAATTGTATTATAAAATTTTCTAAGCACCATATATTTGCATATTGTTAAAAGATATGTTGGAATCCATATTATCAACTTTATCTCACAGCACTTTATATTTTATTATAATTAGAATGCACTTATACACTATTTACATTTTTTTCAATTTTGCAATTTGAAACATATATTTTGAATTTAATTGTATATTGTAGGCCATATTAATGCTTTTTTGTGAAGCCATCACAATTCCAGGTATTTTGACATAATTTTGTGATGCATATTTGGATTTATGTAATGACCTTTTGAATGTTGCAGTCTTTGTTTAATTCCATAATCTGAGATTAACTTTTCCAATTTAAGGCTATTGAATAAAAAGCATAATTGAAAGATTCATTTGTTAATGAAATATCTTAGCAGTGTCAAATCTAATTTTTGTATTAATATTTTGATTAATATTTTAGTATCTTTTCTTAAAATCTATTTGTTTAGCTTTAAATGTCAAATAAATTTCTTTCCAAAAGTGCTTTCACAGGAAGTAGCAATTAAAACAAAGTTAATATTAAAATTATGTATGTCTTTTTCTGATCATTCAAAATATATCACATTAAAAATTTTAAGTTCCTTAACTTGTACAAGAATAGCACTACTTATCCATGTGAATGTGTTTATTTTATATACTTTACTACTCACTATGTGAATACATATACATTCACCATATGAATGTGTTTATTTTATATGCTTTACTATTAAATATAACTTCCATTGTATTTAGTAAGCTTTTAGACATATTGAAATTTAAGTTCAAATATTTAAGATTAATATCCTTTTGTTGCCTGTAGTTATCAGCCTAGTGCACTGCTGTAAAAAAAGATGTAGTAAACAATTTAGAAAAATCTAATATATCTTCCAAGAAGTTATGAATAATGGGTTTATTGAAATTAAAATTAGCAGTGACACTCTTAAGCTTCTTATATATCTATTTTGATGTAGAACTTCTCCAATATTACCTATAAATAGAATTGCAAAAATCAGCATTGTAATCATATTAAGGCAACTAAAAATAATATCCTTCATAACAAAACAATTGGAAAGAGATATACAAAGAGAATAGATAATACTACATATATTTAGAAGGTTAAGTAGCATTAGATTTTGAGGGACACTTAGCAGCAAGAGAAGATAAGAGTAAGAACTGCGGGCATATTTTTGGGTTCCCAAAAAGCAAAATAATTTTCTTACACCATGTAAAATCAGCTCAAATTACAAATGTTTTCTAAATAAGGCTCTAGACCTTGTTTAGATCTACATTACGAATTAAATTAAAGTTAAAAAATGTTTGATTATAGAGTTAAGTTCTACCAAAGAGTTATGGTCAATTGTGTTAATGATAATGTCACTGTGGTACTGTAAACAAACAACGAAGAGGGAGCCTTGTATGTTAGAAAGGCTTGCAGAGATGAGTGTGTGAGGTGATATAATAGCTTGGACTTTAAAAAAAATCATGCAACAAAAAAGGCAAAAAGAGGGGAAAAAAAAAAACAAGTAAAAAGGAATTTGCTGAAATTTATATTCCCAAGAGCTAGTCTCTTAGATGGAGACTAGTATTTGTAATGTTTATTGTGTATACTCTTGTGATCAGCAAATGCCCAGATAATAAAAGCATCTTGTACTTTGAGACCAGGGAAAAGTAATTGCATACTACCGTTTTTTTTTTTGTTCAAAACATCAAAACGAATTTGTTTATTTCTTTATTTTAAGTATTTGGTATTAAGAGTGTCGAATGCCTTGAAATATAGAAATGAACTCAGTAAAACTTACATGGGCTGTCTGTAAACTCTTCAGATTAGTCAGAATCTACTTTTTAAATAATTTGTTATTGCTAAGCACTATTAATATCTTAATTAACTTGTTAATACTCATATGGCCATTTCTGCCATTATTTGGAATTTGGAAATGATTAGATCTTAAACAGTTTGCTAGGTTAAATGATTTCTTACTTGGTCCATTATTTTCAATCAAGAACCAAACTCATTCCTGACCCTTGTTACTTAAGAAATGGTCCATCATCATAACTCGATCACCACCACTTCAGAGTGAGCTAAAAATACAGGATCGAACTCGGTACCATGACATAATTTTTAAATGACGAAATTATATACTTTAAAAAAGAAGAATGAGCAGTAGGAGGAGAAATAAAACAAGGTGGGGGAATAAAAACATTGAAAAGAGAGGAGGAAAGGAGGAGAACATGTAGAAGACACTTCGATGAAGGAGTCACAGTGTTAATATCGCAGTATTGTTTTTACACTCCATCTTAGCCAAAAGGCCGAGAAGCGACCGCAGTCTTGTTTTTGTACGAGGCTTCTGGCGCTCAGCTGACGTTTAGGCATGCTTAGGTTCGGAGAACCGCCAAACCCAGACGTGTATATCCATAGAGACATATATATACATTTCTATCTACCTATATTACTGAGTCACACCCAGCTGTAAACACGTCACCACGAGAGCCCCGCTGCAACCCCCAGGCCACACCGTCGGCGGTGGTGAAATGACTGGGTACACCGGGAGGGTTTCGGGGGTGTAGGCACCAAGCAGGGCGGCGGGCAGGCAAACGCAGCAGACTCTGTGTTTCCGGGAGGAAGCCCCCCGGGGGGGGGGGTGTCAGGGCAGGAGAGAGGGCCCAAGCTGTCCGCACGCTCAGAGTGGGGCCCTCACAGCCCAGGCGGCTTAGGAAGCCTCTTCCCGAAGGCTCCCTGATAAGGGCCCCAAGCCCCGCTGCCCTCCCCCTCTACCTCTAACCCCCAGGGAGGGCACCCGCCGCAGGGAGGGTGACGGTGGCCCTGAGGTGGTCCCGCCCCAGTCCCCCAAAGACCTGCCCGGCCCAGTCCAGTTTCCTGTTCCCCTGTCAGGCCCGGGTCAGGCTGGGGCCTCAGGGGGACAGGTGGGATCCCCCAGCTCCTCAGAGTCCAGCCCCAGGCCTGGGCGGCTCCACAGGGGGCAGCACGGGTCTCCTTCCTTGGGGCATGGGTGCCCCCGTGGTCATCCGACTGGAATGTGGCAGTGAGGTGGGCAATGAGGGGCTCCTCCCCTGGCTGGCCCTGTCCCTCCAGCTTCACGGCTGTCTCTTGGTCCTCCCGCTGGATCATCTGGTAGTGCTGCGGGTTCTCCAAGTAGGCAGCGAGCTCCGTGTCTTCAGCCTTCTCGGCCCGCTGCCGGGGAGTGTGTCGCCCTGCTGGTCTGTCTTCATGAGAGAGGCCCCCTCTTCCACGATGTAGTGGCAGATGGTGCGCTGGCCCAGGGCTGCTGCCAGGTGCAGACAGGTCTCCCCGTTCTCCTCCACTGCGTTAAGGATCTCTGGGGGGGGGCGTGGTCCAGCAGGTAGCGGACCACATCCTTGCTGCCTGTGCTGACCGCATGGTGCAGGAGCGTGCGGCTCTGCTCATCCCGGTGCATGAGGTCACCCCCAGCTCGGTGCAGCTCCTGGAGCTTACAGAAGTTGTTCTTCTTGGCAGCCTCAATCAGCTCCTCACCTTTAGGGGGCCCCGCATCCCCTGGCAGTGACCTGAGCGTGGGTGAGCAGGGGGAGGTGGGGAGAGGGGAAGTGGGGGTTGGGAGGTCAGGCCGGGCCGATGCCCCCAGCAGCTCCAGGGTCCCAGATATAAATCTCGTCCTGTGCGATCTCAGTTACATAGTTGAGGTGTTCCTGGGCCCGGTCGATCCTGTAGAAGCGGCTGGCAGTGGTGGCGTCTAGGAAGCACCACTTAGGGGACAGTTTCTGGGAGGTGGGGGACTTGGCTCCACCACCTTCAGGCTCCTGCTAGTATATAGACTTGATTTCAATGAGGAAAGAGATGTATGTAAGGACAGTGGGAAGGAAGGCATGTAACATTTATCACCAGCTCCATGAAGGTTATCTGTGGGAATACTGGTTCACTGAAATAATGTAGCTAGCATCAGAGTCAACAAAAGTTGGGTATAAAACATAATGTGATTTTATTTTTACCTACATGCTAATGAAGCTTAAAGTAAATTAGTTTTCATATATCCTCAAGATATGATAGCATGTTGAATCATTTTACTGTGTTTATTAAAGAAAGGAATATAATTAACTTGCCCTTAAATCTTGAGCTTTTCATATTTTCATATTTTGCATCTAAAGATATTTCCAAGTAAGAGAGCATTCTTAACATGTGCCCACATAGGATGTAGTCTTGACGGTTATTTAAGTAAGATACCAAAAATTTATTTCAAACATGTCATTAAAATTTCAATATAAAGAATGTCATCAACAATCTTAAAATATGAATATTATTTACAGAATTTTACACTGTTTTTTGGTACAAAAAGTAGTTTTCCTTGATGTTAAATTATATTTTTTATCCAATGTGCAGAAATTAATGATGCTATTATAAATGGTTTATATACCTTTAAATTCCATTTACTTTGTTTCTCTTGTCCTAAATTGAATTGACCTTTTATTATATTTCCAAGAACCTTAATTTTGTCTTTTTTCTATTACTGGCTATTGTTTTCTATAACAGGATAAACCATGTTATCCACTGTAATAAAACTATTTTTAAGATGTTTTAAGTACTGTGAACATTATTTGGGTAACTATCTAAGCATATATTTTTCTCTCAACAAAGGAAGCACAGGGATAATTTTAACAGATAATTTAAAAATTTGATATATACTTATATTTGATTTATGAAAACAAATAGAACCAATATACAATTTATATTAAAAGTAATACAGAGGGATTTACAATGTTTCATATACTAAAAGAAGTGTATATAAAGTTTAATTCCAGTAGTTTAACAACTGCTGAATTTCCAAATGTTCTTTTTTAAAGAACATATTGTTTTGTTCAAGTAATTGTGACTTTTATTTCTCTACCACATTTGTAAAACTCCATATATATTTTTTTCATAAATTAAATACAGCATTTTCATACAAAAGATTCATACAAAAAACATTTATGAACTCTAATTCAAGAATTAAGTATATAGTCTGCTTTTTAATGACATGATCAAAACAGAAATCTTGAATAATAAGACTTAATAAAGGGAAATAAATGTTTTTGGAATTGGGAGTCATAGAATGAGGTTTAAATTCAGTCCTGGTCAAGCCACTGACCAGATGCGTGGCCTTAAACAAGTTCCTTGTTCTATTAGCACACTAGTTTACTTACCTGTCAGATGGGTTAATAATATTTAGCTCAGAATGTGGTTTTAGTATCAGATCATAAAATAAAGCACTTAGAAAAATGACTAAACCTTTGTATTGATAAAAAATACTATTTCTTAATTTACTACAGTTAATATTACTTGACTAATATGGAATCCAAAAATACAGAGGACCCAAACTCAAATCCAGTATCGATTATGACCTATAGCCACCTGTTATTCTTGCATTTAATCAGTCAGCAATGTTTATTGAGAAACATCTGTGTGATGAACTCCGGGTCAGTTGTTGAAATATAAGAACGGAAAGAAGCACACATCCTTGGTATACCTACAGCCTGACTAGTTAACTCCCCATGACTGCAGTTTCAGAAAACAAGCAGTTTCATAAGCCTAAGGGTTCATCAGTTCAAAGGTTCAGGTTTCCAACCAGTAACAATAATGAGTAAAGCCACGCATGTGCAGACTTGGGAAAACCAATCACAATAATAAGTAAAGCTGTGCATGTGCGAATTTAGGAAAACCCGGACAAAGTGCGGGGCACATGCCTATTCCAAACAGGGTGGATGAAGTTGACACATGAAGTGTGGAAAGGAAAAGTTGATGGATATTAATCTTATCAGACATTTGGCTCTATCTGCTGCTTGTATATTCTTGGGCAAGTTAGTTCTCTTTGATCTTCAGGTGATAAAGATTATCCGAACCCGATATAATTGCTGTGAAGATTAAAAGAAACAATATCTAATAATGGTTTGGCATCAGGCTGTGAAAAATAGAAGTACTCTGGAAGTGATAGTTATGAGGAGGAAGGGCCATGGATCCGGCAGTGCCATAGTTTCATATTATCCAGGACAATTTATTAGGATAACAGTTTATAAAATGTCCTCATTTTTAACATTGATCACGAACACTAAATGTGAAAAAAAAAAAATGTTTGCTATGACCGGTTCTCCACCAGTTAGTGACCTGCTCATTAGGTAACTGTAATGGCCTTTCAGTTCAAACACTCTGTCTTCATATGGTATTCCGCTGGAGTGAAAACAAAAATGCACTTATCAATATATCATTGTGGAATGGAATCAAGTTGCTTAGGAAACTCAATGAAAAGAACCCCACCTCCTTTGAAAGAATAACAAAATCACATGCTGACTTTCTTCAAATGACCTACATATTTATTCAAATACCTCCGTTCAGTTTTGTACGGTGGATTGAGAATAGGAAACAGTGTATGTGTGAATAACTGTCACTGATAGCGGTCCTAGGTCATTCGAGTACGGCTCTCAATTTTGACAATTCAGTGACATTTTCTTACAAGTTTGGCCTAGATCCAGTGACCCTAATTCACCCAATCATTCTGTAAGAAACCAAACATTGCTTAATAAATATTTCCATTGTCCAAAATTAACGATTTATATACTGCTTACTGCTTTGTCTCATCTAAATAAGTAAATATTATTTCTTCATTTTGATAATGTTTCTGTACGTGAATATTCTTTGTTTTTTTCTGTGCCTGAATATTCTTTAAACAGATTTTGCATTATACCATAAATTTAGTCTAGTCCAGAATGTAGTATAACATATAAAAGGCATACTTCACAGTATAAAAAAATCATACTGAAACATCTTCCCTCATTAAAAAAAAATTCAATTTGAATAACAGTAATGCTAAACTGAAATATTGATATTTAAATTGTTATTTGATATTTAAATTGATATTTAAATCCATTTAGAGCCAGTGTTTTTCTTGTGTTTATTCTAATTGCATCCATGAAAGAAGATTATCAATTTGGGTCATTAAAATAAAATTTACTTTTCTATGCTGAAATGGTTAGTTCTAAAATAATATAGCACAGCACTTAGGCACTGTAACAGTAAGGTTAGTGAACTGTAGGGGGAAAAAATACCAAAGTAAAAGCACTCCCTTCAACACAACAACATTGAGAGAAATGGTTTGAGATGGTTAAATGAGTGTTTTTGACAGTAACACAAAAAGGTTGAAAATGGAGAGATTTTTCATTGTAATAATATTGGCTTAGTAACTTTGCACATGTGTGTGTTTAATAATACAATTTTTATTAGTTTATTGCACTATGCTTTTAAAGTTTTCAAAGCCAATATACATATCTCATATATTTGTCAGAACAAATGCACACATAGAATATTCATTCCATTTCACAGAGAGGTAGACTAAAGCTCAAAAAGCAGTTGGTTGATTGTTGTACATATATTTAATTGTGCTTCTGCCTTTTCCTCCCAGTCTGTTACTATTTTTATTGGACAAATTTTTAGCTACATTTATTTCTGGAGCAATGGCTTATGGAGCATATAGAAATATGTGTACATATATAAGTAAATATAATATATAAACAACTATATATTACGTATTTACAAATACACTTTGTGTACTATCTATATCTATTCTCTAGCTAAAGAGAGACAGAGAAACTTATAGACATGAGGCAGAGTGCAATTATTAATATTCACATATTAAACAAGATTTTTTTTCTTAGAAGTCAGTATCTGGCACATAATAGGTTCGTACTCAATAAACAGATATTTACATATTTACATAAATAAACATATAATTTAAAATGAATATCTGTCCATAGAAGTTAGATAAGAATAGACTTCTTTTATGTTAATTTCCTTGATATTTTGCTTTAACACGAGTACATATAGAAATTTACGTGAGGGAAGCATCACTGTGGCCAGGGTTAAAAAAGAAAAGTTCTAGAGATGAGGAAGGTTTGGACTTACGTGAAGGCATAATTTGAAAGAAAATAAATAGTATTATTTTTAAGGCGTGATGATTGAATGGAGCCAAATAGGTGGAAAAGTTCAAGGTTTTTCTTGAGAAGAAAGTTAACAAGTCATTGTTTTTTCAGCATGGATGCACTGAGGGATGTAAGACAAGGCTCAAGCATGGTTTTGAAAGGTCATTAATCCAAGTTAAAGAGTTTATTTCACCGCAATGAAAAATCATTACGGGGAAGGAAAGGGCAACTCCAAAGCAGCGTTTAAGCTGGCTGCCATGTGAAGGATGTGTAAGCTAGCCATTATAGAAGTGTTGGTGAAACACAAAAGCCTGCATGAGGAATTTAGATATATATTTTTGTGTATATTTTTTTCTGTGTGTGTATGTGTGTGTGTGTGTTCATTAATGATCTAGTAATTTTCCAAAATCACAGTATTTCCTAGAATTAAGCCAAACAGTCACCAGTCTGTCTGTTAAGATGGGTGCCTTTTTTGTTTGTTTGCTTTTACTGTTATTTACTTTTTCTTTTTCTATTCATTCCCCGCCCCCATTTCATGAGTTTGTGGATTGTGCAGAAGAAAGGAGTCATGCCCTCTATAAGTTATGGATGTAGATGATCTATAAAACAACTTAGCAACATGGAGTGACTTCAGCACAAAGGCACCATTTTTTCCCTTAGTTTTAGTGATTTAATTTTAATTTCTTTTTTTGTAGTTTCAAGTTTTTATTTAAATTCCGGTTAGTTGGGTGGCTCATTCATTAAGTGTCTGCCTTTGGCTCAGGTCATGATCCCAGGGTCCTGGGATCAAGCCCTGCATCGGGCTCCCTGCTCGGGAGCTTCTTCCTCTCCCCCTCCCCCTGCTTGTGTTCCCTCTCTCACTGTCTCAATCTCTGTCAAATAAATAAAATCTTAAAAAATAAATTCCAGCTAGTTAACACACAGTGTAATATTAGTTTCAAAAGTAGAATTCAGTGATTCATCACTTCCATACAACACCCCGTGCTCATCGCAAGTGCCCTCCTTAATGCCCATCATTCATTTAGCTCATCCCCTGAGCCACCTCCCTCTGGCAACACTCAGTTTGTTCTCAATAGTTAAGAGTCTCTTTTATGGTTTGCCTCTCTTTCTCCCTCTCTCTCTTTTTTTTTTTTGTCCTTTATGTTCATCCTGTTTTGTGTCTTAAATTCCACATATGAGTGAAATCATATGGTATTTGTCTTTCTCTGACTGACTTATTTTGCCTAGCATAATACACTGTAGCTCCATTCACATGATTGCAAATGGCAAGATTTCATTCTTTTGTATGGCTGAGTAGTATTCCATTGGTATATATACCACTTCTTTATCCATTCATCAGTCGATGGATATTTGGGCTCTTTCCGTAATTTGTCTATCATTGTTATGTTGCTATAAGCATTGGGGTGCATGTGTCCTTTCAAATCAGTATTTTTATATCCTGTGTAAATATCTAGTAGGGCAAATGCTGGGTTGTATAGTAGTTCTATTTTTAACTTTTTGAGGAACCTCCAAACTGTTCTCCAGAGTAGCTGCATCAGTTGCATTCCCACCAACGGTGTAAGAGGGCTTTACTTTCTCCATATCCTCTCCAACATCCATTGCTCATTTAGGTCTTTCAGCCATTTTGAATTTAGTTTTGTTATGGTATAAGAAAGTGGTCCAGTTTTATTTCTTTGCATGTTGCTATCTGGTTTTCCAACACCATTTATTGAGGAGACTGTTTTTTTCCCATTGGATTTTCTTTCCTGCTTTGTTGAGGATTAGTTGACCATAGAGTCAAAGGCCCATTTCTGGGTTTTCTATTCTGTTCCAGTGATATATGTGTCTGTTTCTGTGCCAGTACCATACTGTCTTGATCACTACAGGTTTGTAATATAACTTGAAGTCTGGAATTGTGATGCCTCCAGCTTTGTTATTCTTTTTTAAGATTGCTTTGGCTACTCAGGGTCTTTTGTGTTTCCATACAAATTTTAGGATTGTTTGTTCTAGTTCTTTGAAAAATGCTGATGGTATTTTGATAAGGATTGCATTACATATGTGAATTGCTTTAGGTACTATAGACATTTTTACAATATGTGTTCTTCCAATCCATGAGCATGGAAAGTTTTTCCATTTCTTTGTGTCACCTTCAATTTATTTCATAAATGTTCTATAGTTTTCAGAGTACAGAACTTTTACATTTTTTGTTAGGTTTATTCCTAGGTATCTTATGGTTTTGGGTATAATTGTAAATGGGATCGATTCCTTGATTTCTCTTCCCCCTACTTCATTATTGGTGTATAGACATGCAACAGGCTTTCGTACATTGATTTTGTATCCTGTGATTTTACTAAATCATGTATCAGTTCTAGCAATTTTTTGATGGATTTTTTTGGGTTTCTGCATGGAGTATCATGCCATCTGCAAAGAGTGAAAGTTTGACTTCTTCCTTAACAATTTGGATGCCTTTTATTTCTTTTTGTTTTCTGATTGCTGAGGCTAAGACTTACAGTACTATGCTGAACAACATTGGTGGGAATGGACATCCCCTGTCTTGTTCCTGAGCTTAGAGGAAAAGCTCTCAATTTTTCCCTATTGAGAACGATATTCGCTGTGGGTCTTTTGTATATGGCCTTTATGATGTTGAGGTATGTTCCTTCTATCCCTACTTGGTTGAGGGTTTTTATTAAGAATGGATGTTGTATTTTGTCAAATGCTTTCTCTGCATCTATTGAGAGGATCATATTGTTCTTATCCTTTCTTTTATTAATGTGGTATATCATATTGATTGCCTTGCAAATATTGAACCACCCCTGAAGCCCATGAATAAATCCCACTTGATCATGATGAATAATTCCTTTAATGTACTGTTGAATTATATTTGGTAATATTTTATCGAGAATTTTTGCATCCATGTTCATCAGGGATATTGACCCATAATTCTCCTTTTTAGTGGGGTCGTTGTCTGGTTTTGGAATCAAAGTACTTATGCTGAATCCTAGAATGAGCTTGGAAGTTTTCCTTCCATCTCTATTTTTTGGAACAGTTTGAGGAGACGAGGTATTAACTCTCCTTTAAATGTCTGGTAGAATTCCCTTGGGAATCCATCTGGCCCTGGACTTTTGTTTGTTGGAGATTTTTGATTACTGATTCAATTTCTTGGCTGGTTATGGGTCTGTTCATATAATTCTTATCCTTTCTTTTATTAATGTGGTGCATCATGTTAATTTCTTTGCAGATATTGAACCACCTTTTCAATCCAGGAATAAATCCACTTCACATGGTGAATGATCCTTTTAATGTACTATTGGATTCAATTTGCTAGAATTTTGTTGAGAATTTTTGCATCTATGTTCATCAGGGATATTGGCCTGTATTTCTTTTTAGTGGGATCTTTGTCTGGTTGTGAAATCAAGGTAACGCTGGCCTCATAGAATGAGTTTGGAAGTTTTCCTTCCATGTTGGGGTTATGAAATCATCCATAATACCTGGCTTGCTAACATGAACACAGAGGCTGCTGGGGGCAAGGGAGGGTTTCAGAGAAGGATGCAGGCCTTTGGAATGGCGGGGCCTGCGTGACCACTCTGCCCTACGAATGTTGTGGGGAGTTGCCTTCCCGAAGCTCTCTTAGCCCAAACAGCCGCTCTGTGATCTGAGAGACATATGCATTGTCCCTTAGGCTATGTTTAGCAGAACTTGTAGAACATGCAGATTACCATATTATATCTTTCCCGTAAACAGATCCTCCTAGTTCCAATAAGACTCCTCGTCACCCATCTCGTGCTTGAGAAACAGTGATAAGGATTTGTGATTTTCCTGAAGGACCAATAAAAGCAGAAGCAAGGAGAGCAAAGGGTCTTCATCTCTGAGTGTTGACCCCCTTGCCTTCTCCTCTCTTGCCTTTGCGCTTTCAAGCAAAGTGTGGAGTCTTCTTTCATCCGTCAGTACAGGGATTGCTGGCCATTCCCAGCAATTCCATTTCTATTTTTTGGAACAGCTTGAGAAAAATAGGCATTAATTCTTCTTTAAATGTTTGTTAGAATTCCTCTGGGAAGCCATCTGGCCCTGGACTTTAGCTTGATGGGAGAATTTTTTCTTTTTTTAAAGATTTTATTTATTTATTTGAGAGAGAGAGAATGAGAGATAGAGAGCACGAGAGGGAAGAGGGTCAGAGGGAGAAGCAGACTCCCTGCTGAGCAGGGAGCCTGACGTGGGACTCGATCCAGGGACTCCAGGATCATGACCTGAGCTGAAGGCAGTTGCTGAACCAACTGAGCCACCCAGGCACTCTTGATGGGAGAATTTTGATTACTAATTCATTTATTTTTGTTGTTGTTAGTTATGGGTTTATTCAAATTTTTGTATTCCTTCCTATTTCAGTTTTTGGTAGTTTACATGTTTCTAGGAATTTATCCATTTCCTCCAGATTGCCCAGTTTGTTGGCATATAACTTTTCATAATATTCTCTCATAATTGTTTGTATTTCTGTGGTATTGGTTGTGATCTCTCCTCTCTCATTTATGATTTTATTTATTTGGGTTCTTTTTTCTTTCTGATGAGTACAGTTAAGGGCTTATCAATTTTATTAATTTTTTTTTTTTTCAAAGAACCAGTTCCTGGTTTCATTGATCTGTTCTACTGGTTTTTGTTGTTTCTATATCATTTATTTCTGCTCTCGTCTATATTATTTCCCTTTTCTGCTGGCTTTAGGCTTCATTTGTTGTTCTTTTTCTAGCTGCTTCATATGTTAGTTTGCATAGAGACTTTTCTTGCTTCTTGATGTAGGCCTGTATTCCCTCTTATGATGGCTGTTGCTGATTTCAAATGTTTTGGACCATCAGGTTTTCATTTTCATTTGTTTCCAGGTACTTTTTATTTCTTTGTTAATTTCTTGGCCTACCCATTCATTTTTTAGTAGGATGTTCTTTAACCTTCATGTATTTGTGGTCTTTCCAAATTTTTTTCTTGTGGTTGACCTCAAGTTTCATAGCATTGTAGTCCAAACATATGTATGGTATGATTGCAATCTTTTTGTACTTGTTAAGGGCTGATCTGTGACTCAGTATGTGGTCTATTCTGGAGTATGTTCCCTATGTATTCAAAAAGAATGTGGATTCTGCTGCTTTAGGATGAAATGTTCTGAATATATCTGTTAAGTCCATCTGGTCCAGTGTATGAGTCAAAGCCATTGTTTCTTTGTTGATTTTCTGCTTAGATGACCTGTCCAGTGATGGAAGTGGGATATTAAGGTCAGCCCCCTAATATTGTATTATTATCAGTGAGTTTCTTTATGTTTGTTATTAATTACTTTATGTATCTCGGTGCTCCCAAGTTGGGGGCATAAGTATTTACATTTGTTAGATCTTCTTGTTGGATAGACCCATTTATTATGATAAAGTGCCCTTCTCTATCTCTTCTTATAGTCTTTGGTTTAAAATCTAGTTTGCTATAAGTATGACTACTCTGGCTTTCTTTGGATGTCCATTTGCATAATAAATTGTCCTCCATTCCCTTACTTTCAATCTGCAGTTGTCTTTAGGTCTAAAAATGAGTCTCTTGTAGACAGCATACAGATGCGTCTTGCTTTTTTTTTAATCCATTCTGATAACCTATATCTTTTGATTGGAGCATTTAGTCCGTTTACATTCAGAGTAATTATTGATAGATATGAATTTAGTGTCATTTTATTACTTGTTTTTTTTATTGTTTCTGGAGATTGTCTGTGTTCCTTTCTAGTCTTTGTCACTTTTGGTCTTTCTTTCTCACTCAAAGAGTTCCATTTACTGTTTCTTGCAGGGCTGGTTTAGTGGTCATGAACTCCTTTAGTTTTGTTTGTCTGGGAAACTCTTTATCTCTCCTTCTATTCTGAATGACAGCCTTGCTGGATAGAATACTCTTGGATGCAGATTTTTCCCATTCATTACATTGAATATATCATGATGCTCCTTTCTGGCCTGCCAGGTTTCTGTGGAGAGATCTGCCGCTAACCTTATTTGTCTTCCCTTATAAATTAGGGACCTTTTTGGCCTGCTGCTTTTAAGATTTTTTCTTTATTTCTATATTTTGCAAATTTAACTATGACATGTCTTGGTGTTGGCCTGTTCTTGTTGATTTTGATGGGAGTTCTCTGTGCCTTCTGGACTTGGAAGTCTGTTTCTTTCCCCAGATTTGGGAAGTTTGCAGGTATAATTTCCTCAAATAAACCTTCTGCCCTCTTTACTCTCTCCTTTTCTTCTGGGACTTCTATGATATGAATGTTTTTACATTTCATGGAGTCACTGGGTTCCCTAAGTCTACTTTAATGATCCAAGATTTTCTTTCCCTCTCTTGATCAACTTAATTACTTTACATAATTCTATCTTCTATATCACTTATGCATTCCTCTGCTTCTTCCATCCTTGTGGTCATTGTGTCCAGTCAGTTTAAATTCAGTTTTTTCATTATTCATTTTGGCCTGATTGGCTTTAAGCTCTCTTATCTCTGCAGTAAGGGTCTCCCTGATATCTTCTATGCTTTTCTCTACCCCAGCTAGTGTCTTTGTGAGTGTTGCTTTAAATTCTGGATCAGGCATATTACTTATATCTGATTTAATTAGAACCCTGGCCATGATATTTTCTTTT